TTTCACGTCGCTTAACATGTGGAATTTGTCATGCTTAGCTCCTGATGTGCGCTTCGTGTCGCAGAATTCTGTTCTTCACGGACAAACACTTCGTTCAACAAAACAATCTCATGCGAGCCTTTGTCTACCTCGGTCAAACTAATACGCGCGTATCTCAAACGAAGTGAGGGCTTACAGCGACCTGTCGTCACCCTTTAATATCTCCAGCGGTGTGAGACAAGGATGCGTGCTGTCACCTTTCCTCTTCAACTTCACTATTGGCGAAGTCATGGAAATCGATTTCACAGGACACGACTTAGAAGGTGTGGATCTGCTCCCAGGAGAACGACTTCTTTTGGAGTATGCTGACGATATTGCTCTTATCTATGACAGCTCACAAACGTGCCAAGCGGCACTGGACTTATTAGCACTGGCTGTCCGTCACTTCGGGCTTTGCTTCGCACCCTCGAAATACAAAGCTTTCCTCCAAGATTGACCTGGACTGCCTCTTGCGCTGACACTTGGTGGGGCTCAACTAGTCGTTCGGAAATTCAACTACCTGGGAAGTTGTATCAGCGTTCGTGGGACTGAAGATGAGATTACGAACCGTATTGCAAAAGCTCGAGACGCTTTTGCTAACCTTCACCACTTATGGCTCCGGCGCGACATCACTCTTATCCTTCGGGATAAGAGTGAAACCTGTCCCCTTAGATCAGCGGGCATAGTGGCTAGTTACGTTCGACCACCGGTGCCTTCGCAATTCAGCTCACATCTGATGGGAACTTTGCGTTATCAACGAGTGTGTTCGATACCTTCTTTGCGGCGCAGGAAGATGAAATGAACCGCTCAGCACTGTTATTTCACGCATCATGACCCGATTGACTCGGCCACGTGTTGCGCATGCCAGTCCACGGACTCCTGCGACGTGCGTTGTTTGCACGCCGGAGGGTGTGGATGGAAGAAGACGAGAGGTGGCCAAGTGATGACTTGGTTGAGGGGAATGAAGGTCCTCACTCCGAAGCTGGCCTCATTTGGAGCGTCTCGACTCCCTGGTTTGGGACCGAGAGGCGAGGAACACGTTTGGCTGGATAGACTTGTTGATATGTCTAGGAGCGGACCTCAGTGGCGTTCGTGCTGTGAGTTTGTTTGTCCAACCCCATCCCTCTTATCCCCCCCCCTCCAACCACGATCTCATTAGTTACCTTTTTATAATTTTACATGCTTAATTATTTTTTTGCTGCTGCATACTAGCCGACAGGTAGCTTATCGTAACTATGCCCATCCGTTTCCGGTAGCTCAGCTGGCTTGCACTTGTTGCATTTCCCCCTTTTTTCTCCTATCTATTGCTACACAATAGCTAAGGTCTTTCCCTACTCTATCTAACCTGTATAATGATGATGGTCAAACTATCGCCTCAGTACAGCTTGGTATTAACTAATCAGCCTAGACGTCCAATCATCTACTTCCTCTGTTTGCGGCAATCTAGCTGCTTGATTCGTCACGTAACTCCGTCTCATCCCTTTCACTGCATAATCCTGTAGCACTTCATTGGTCACAAGAGCTTAATCTGCAATCTTCTAATTTGGCGATCGAAAACATAGGTTCAGGTCGGCCACTACCGGAATCCGATAGTCCCTTACTTTTCTGGGAGCTAGTAAAGTTATTTGTCGTGGATCACCGTGGTCTACTACACATTTCCAAAATCCGACGGAATGACCGATTTCGTGCTCCTGTGCATCTCTATTGATGTTTGCTTCCAAGTGGTTTGTTGTCACATTTAACAATCTGGTTTGTATAGTCATTTTCACTATTTGCTACCTATACTTGGTATATCTGGGCGACCTTACTTGCATGATTGTGTGTATACACCCGATGGAATAAGATTTAAGACTTGTCGGCTGGGCATGCATGCTATGATTAACTGAGAGATCGGGTTGATTTCTGTGCTGGGGGCACACCCATGGTTAGCAGCGTTATCATCCTCCCTTGCGCAGCCGTGTATCCGTGTGACATTAATAAGTTACCCACCCGTTCCTAACTTCCGTTTTCTATAACCTGCCAGTTTAGTAGCCTTGATTTTTGCTTCCCACTGAGAATATTTCACTCTTAACGCCTAATTGTCATCGGGCTTGATTCCATATGGTCTGATATTCTTCCTACCATTAACTTTGTGGCCCTCTCCGACCCATTTACCCTACACCGATGCTGTATCAAATATCATGACATTTCTCGGCAGATCATTCTGATTTCCTTCTTATTGACCTCCGTTATTTTTGTCTTAGTCATTCGTATGCTCACTTTATATACCAGCAACATCCCCTGCAAGATTATACCGAAAGACACCGTTTTTCGCTTCTCTCTTTCCATCGCACGCTCGCACTCTGACCTCTTCGAATCGACTTCCTTCGGTGAATAGACTCTCTAGCATACCCACTACGTTGGTCTACCATTTTCGTTTCTTTGGGACACCGTAGCAACCCACATACCCCTTGATTCAGCAACGGATTAAACCACTGTGCTCTCTTTTTCTAGCTATTGTTCCTCAGATGCAGGGACGACCGGTACCGGGATGCATTCGAGTTCTGCTTTGTACTTTAAAGGTCGCCAGTTCCCATATGTGTAGGTGCGATTGACCTCGCAGTATCATTGACTTTCGTGCGACTCGTGATGGCCCCATGACAACGACTCATCAGTCCCACCTACCTACGTACTGCCGATACCTTCTTCCTTTCTCTACGGGGACAGCAATAGTCGTCGCAGTTAATCTATTACTTGTGATTTGTTCGTGGAAAGTAGAAGTCACGATTAAACTGCACACAATAATCTGCCTCGACGGGGAGTCGAACCCCGGTCCAACGAATTACCGGTCCGCTACTCTACCACTGAGCTACCGAGGGCTGGCGATCAGGGGCGCAATTTTTAATACATGACTTCTGCTTGGTGCGCGACGTATTGCGAATGAGCTCACAGTATCTGTCCTGGTGTTGCAGATTGGCTCACTCACTCGTCACTTCCCAATGGACCGAAGTATCTGTCCTTCTGATGTCCAAAAGGCGATGGTAGATTAGTTGGGGATTTTTGTGAGAGGTGTAATGTTCGTAGCAAGTAGAAGTCACGATTAAACTGCACACAATAATCTGCCTCGACGGGGAATCGAACCCCGGTCCAACGAATTACCGGTCCGCTGCTCTACCACTGAGCTACCGAGGGCTGACGATCAGGTGCGCAATTTAATACCTGACTTCTGCTTGGTGCGCGACGTATTGCGAATGAGCTCACAGTGTCTGTCCTGGTGTTGCAGATTGGCCCACTCACTCGTCACTTCCTAATGGACCGAATTATCTGTCCTTCTGATGTCCAAAGGACGATGGTAGATTTGTTGAGGATTTTTGTGTGAGGTGTAGTGTTCATTCGCTGCCCATTCTCTGCCGTTTGATAACTGTCTAACTGCCATCGGAATTGTTATGTTCTGATTTTGTTTTGCATGACAAGCCCTACACTGGGCATATTGTTCATTGTTTGTAATGTAAACACGGTGCTGGCCCGTAGCCTAATAGATTGCAAACCAGCTGTGTAATCCCAGTGCGCTGGTTCAAACCTGCATATGGTCCCGGGTCACCCTCGCATTATCCTCAATCCACTCGAAACTGTTGGTGCTTGCGTGGCAGCGAAGCGCCGGTACCGCGTGCCGGCGTACTGCTGGTACCGCTACTTAAACACGGTCGTACATTTATATCTACTACGATCTTCCTACCTCTTTGTTCACTTTCGGATGTCAAACGCGGTAGCTCATTAGGTCCTGTACTCGGCGATTTGTTCATGCTGATGATAGAAAGAAGCATTTTTACGGTAAAAATAGCCCAGGTGCCCTACTACAAACGACATGTTGATGATATTTTGGCTTTCTGTTCCTCGGAGCAGCAGCTCACACATTTGGTAGAACGACTCAATGGTGCTCATGCTAACTTACGGATTACATGCGAAGTAGAACAGAACAATTGCCTGTCATACCTGGACATACTGAAAAGTCGCAGGGATGATGGATTGATTAAGTGGTCCATTTACCGTAAATCAACTTGGTCCGCTCAGTATCTGCACTTCACTAGCTTCACACCAGTGCGGTACAAACGGACACTTGTTGAATACTCCAGTTAGTCGTGCCATACGAATTTGTTCGACCGACTGTCTGAACGATGAGCTAGTGTTAGTTACAACAACACTAATGGCGAATTGCTACCCTCGAAGATTTACGGCGGAACACAATCAACCGTGAGGGCCAAAGGACCTGATGCACACGGCACCCAATAAGAAAATGTATATCGGGTTACCTTACGAAGGTGATTTAGCCACGCTGAAGACAACTAAGCGTATAATTTCGGCTACACAAGGAAGTTACTTACTATGCTGCACAAGTTATCGTCATCAACCGAACCCGAAATTTTCCCATACCTCCAACGAAGGAAGTTCAGCCTATTGGGGTCAACTCACACTGTGTATACCAATTTGTATGTGACCGCAGAAACAGTTACATAGTCAGAACTAACAGAACTCTGACTTCCCGAATAAAGAAACATGTACCAAGATGGGTTCAACGTGAAGTTGCTCAGATTGCCTACCCTCGTCAGATTCCATGTTCTCGCAGATCGCCGGCTTCCTCGATAGGCAAACGTCCATTAGACTCGGACCACCGGATAGAGCTGAGCTAAGCGTTTAAGGTTGTGTTACCTCACACTAATCCCCGTTTCCTTTAGTTTGCTGAGGCTGTCGCTGTAAGCCGGATGAATCCAGTCTTATTTGTTTAGAAACAATTATTTGTCAGGCTAAAGCTGCCTTGAACTTCCGTCATTCGTTCTGCACCTCAAGCTTGTCTCGTTGCACCCACTGTTAGTTATATCTAGACATATCGGTTATTGTTAATGGTACTGAGGAGACAATACGAAATGCATACATCTATCAGCCTTCCTCTTCTTTCCGTGCTTTTCAAACGGAATTGCCTATCTCTTCGATCCGCTCTCGTGCAGGTACTCCTTGTGAGTCACTTTCCTCCGGGTGCCAGTGAGAACGCCCCTACGTACGTCAGACATCTTCGACCACGATACAACAAACACCTTGTGCAATTGCTGCGAAAGTATTCCGACGTTCTCATGGCCGGTCTTTTTGCTCATACGCATGTGGACTCGTTCCGCGTTCTTTCAGACGAGGGAGGTGAGTTATTGTCGTTATCGTTGTTGCTATTGTTATTATTATTATTATTAACTCGTTGTTTTGTTCCCTAGTGCATGTGATGTGTGCAGATCTGCAAAAGTTAAAGGTAGCAGACGAGCTCGTTTTCGGTGACTCATCCTCAGGCTATTACACCACACTAAGAGGAGTTAAATAAAACACGCTTATCAAATGCGATGATTAGAGGTAACGAAATGTCTAATCACTATAGCTAAATGTGCTCGTTCACTTCATCTTTCTTCTGAGCTCTTTCATGGGAATATTTTGTCAACTGAAGTGTTCCAAGAATTCCGATATGCACGTCTGTCCGTAGCCAATGTAGTGCTCATTAGACGTTTGACCTGATCTTAACCACTTGACTCTGTACCCTTTTGGAATACTCAAAGCTAGTGGACATTCCCAGTGCCATATGCTATCTTTCCACATCCCATTTCCATCTATTCTGACCATTCGCCCAACTCACTTATATGCACATACCGTTGATAAATGGATATTAGTAGTATTTCGTGGCACTCGCGAACTATAGGAGGTTCCCGCTGCGCCATTCACGTTTCCGGCCACATGTCCAACCCATGTCTAATGTTAAAGTCTGGGGTAACAAACCCCACGGTCTACTCGGAGCCGCTGCGGGGCTCAACACGCGCACCGCTACCGTCGACTGTGGGGAGGTTACGTACCAGTCGTGCTTGCTCGGCCGTAGCCCGGCCTTTGAAGGGACCGCTCTTTGAACCCAGCGACGATTTGCAGTTTCCTGTAATCAGTGCTCGAAGTGGTCACATCGAAACATAGTCATAGTGATCACGCTTGACGCCGAGCGCATTCAAACAAATCGGGTCACGCGAGAACAAGTTTCCAACTTAGGGACATACATGCTCTTTGACACAAATATTGGCCAGCTTCGTCTACGATGCATCACATTTGAATTACTTACCGCAGTTTTGATATCGGTCATTGTGCAATCCGGATGAAGTTCTACACGGTGGCGCACAACGATCCTCTCTTGACATACAAATACGGTCACTTTTTTAAATGCATTTTGTGTTGCACCACTTATGGTCATTGTATAGACGGAGTGTTTTCTCTCATGAGCAAATCACAATTCTCTCTTACCGTGCAATCGGTTCCGTGCGAAACATTAATTGTTGGACACTATTGATCCTTTACCAACACATCGACTTCCGGTGAGTAAGTGAGCGAGCACTTCAACGTGGGTCGACTGGAGTATTCTCCTAATTTTCAGATCAGACAGACTTTGCCGGTCGCTGAGCAGCATCATTTCCCTGCATATGTTTCGCATCTCAACTGGGTGTTTACCTCTCCGTGCACTATTTGCGCTCGCAGAAGTCGGCTGGAAGCAAAGAAAAGATGACCAACGAATGATTAGAGTCAAAAGTATCATGGCGCTGACCTCGCATTTGGAAATACCCGCATGTTACTTTACCTCATCAGATCCATCGGATGCAATTCACATGTCATCAGTGAGACAATCTACGCGTCGAACGGCACAAGCATCACTAATCTACGCAAACTTCTGGATCGCTGGACAGAGCACTTTGCTCTTCAATTTAACTATCCGACTTAATCACCGCTGACATTCCCTTTACTATCTTGTGGTGCATGGCCTGTGTGTACAGATCCTTTCAACGAGACTGAGATTCGAAGAGGAACCCAGATTCTGGAAAGTTACAAAGCCCTAGGCTCTCACAGCTTTCCTTCGGCTCTATTCAATGATGGAGGAAATACAGTTATTAGCGAACTGTTCTCTCGTTTTTCACGAAAGTGTGAGCCGATAAGAAGATTCCCAACTCTTGGGGCGAAGCTATTGTGGTCCCGAATTATAAGAAAGCTCCCGCAGCGATTGCACCAACTACCGAGGTGTATCACTCATATCGGTCACGTCTAAAGTTATTGTGTCCTTATCGCTTCACAGGCCTTCAGCTACTCGAAAGAGTTTACCTCGCGAGGAACAAGCCGGTTTTCGCACGGTCGAGGTTGCATCGACTAGATCTTCACGCTGCGTCAAATATTTGAACATCGTCATATCCACCGAAGACCAACAATAGTGCTTTTTTGGACATCCGGGACCCCATTACTCCATAGATAGGACCACTTTTGGAACTGCCTGCTAAGACAATTTTGTCACGATCCTGAAAGTATTCTATCGTAGCACATCAGCTTATGGTATGCTTTCTTCGTCTTTTGCTGTTACCAGCATAGTACGCCAAGCTTGCTCCATCTCACCAATCTTATTCAACTTTGCCATCGATGGTGACTCCACCGCGCTCTGCAAGGAGCCCAGAGCTGCGGCGTTGAGCTTCTCCCCGGCGACAGAGTTTCGGATCTGGATTATGCTGATGACATCGCTTTGCTGGGGGACGACCCACAGGCCATCCAAAACGTTTTGAACCGCTTAGCGATCGAGGCATCTAATTATGGTTTGTATTTTGCCCCATCCAAGTGTAAAACCCTGCTCCAACATTGGCACTTATCGTCGCCAACATTCACGGTTTCAGATACTTGTCTGAAGCAGGTGAATCGCTTTGTTTAGCTCGGGAGTTGTATCATGGCGCGTGGCGATGTGTCTTAGCGAATCGCTAAATCTCACATGACGTTCACTAACCTGAGACACTTATGGCGCCGCCGAGACACCAGTTTAGGACTCAAAAATAGAGTGCACAGTGTCATTGTCCGTGTAGTCCTGTTGTACGGCTGCGAAACCTAGCCTGTTCTTCTAGAAGATATGAAACGACTAGCATCTTTCGACAACCACTGCTTACGAACGATCGCTCGTGTGTGGTGTCAACACCACATAAGGAACTCGAAAGTTAGAAGCCGAGTACTCGGAACGAACAATCCCAGTCTTCAGTGCATATTTCTCGAGCCTCGTTTACGTTGGTTTGGTCACGTTTTACGCATGCCAACCAATCGACTTCCTCGCCGAGCATTATTTGCAGTTCCTGGGCGTGAATGGAGAAAATGCCGTGGTGAACAACCGATCACGTTGAAGAGGAACATCAAGAATCTCACCCCATGTTTGGCACCATCAAGCTCTGACTGCCTTCCAGGTTGGAGACCACGTGATGCGGACTCCAAATGGCTGGAAGTTTTGGAGGCTGCGGATCGTAACCGAAATCAGTGGCATCAACACTGTTCCAACATTTCCTTTTCATCCAAACTACAATTTTAAACATGCAAAAATCTCAGAACGGCATGTATGATCTATAAAACCATTACAAGCGGAAACACAGACACATTTATATACATGGGAAAATATTGGCACACCAATGAAACTGTCAAAATCAAGACCAAGGCAATCTGATTGATTGCCTCAAGAGTTTCTGTGCACATAACACAGGTTGATAAGCGCTAATTAGCAACGCCTCACTGATTGCCAACCTTATCGGGTTCCTGTTACGTAATAACACCTTGAACGCATTAGTGGGGTTCACATAGTGACCAGTTGTCAAGAGGTGTTTGGCGATAGATGATGACGGACTCCGATTCGTTCTGTGGGGCGTTCCGTTCTGTTGCGCTATCATTTGTTCAACCCACTTTGGCAAGTGCTCAGCTACCCTCTGAGCCAACCGACGGTTAGTCTTGCCTATGTAAACATCACCGCAACTGCAGGTGAATTGATAAACCACATGAGAGGCCGAACTATCCGAAAACCATTACAACCATGATTCTGATGGCACATTTTTCTGCTCTCAGACTTATGAATACATATATATCGGGTTGACAACAAATTTCCCGCCGTTTCTTCACTTTAAAATTTCGCATACCATTGAACGTTTTTTGGCATAATGCTGTACATCATTCGAAAGAGAATGCTCTGTTCTATTTTATTTTTTGTTTCAGTTAATTTCTGTTTATTTGTTAAGTCATTAAAATGGAATGTAAATTTGGGAAAAGAGCATTTTTGTTTTTAATCAAGCTTCTAAGGCCGCGAAAGGTGCTCGCAACGTTTGTACTGTGTATGAAGAGGGCGCCATAGCTGAAAGACCCGCTGTTTCATATTGATGTACAGACACCATTTTTCCTCGCCCGTACTGACTCGGTGAAGAAATTGTTGCTTGTCTTCTTGTATTGACCAGTGACGAGCAAGCAAATCAGCGGAGGTTGTGTGCATTGTTGATTTTTGTCATTGTCGCTTAAAACATGCGGAACTCATATTCCTCCACACTTCTAAACCTTTCCCGTCGAGTGAAGATGCCTCTCCATAGCAAAGTTGGGGCATTCCATTTTCTCTGCCACTTCCCTGGTCGTTTGACGCGTTTTCATACAAAAGCTCGTTCTGGCCGGTCAGAACGATGTACGTCTTTGAGGTCAAACTTTCCATTTTTCCTTTTGGCATACCAATCACGTGGGGTCCTTTCAGCTATGACACCCTGTTCATACACAGTACAAATATCGCGGCCTTAGACTCTTGGTTAAAAACACAAACTTGTCGAAAATGCTCATTTTTCTCAACTTGACGTTCATTTTTAATGATTTGAAAAATGAACAAAAATTAAAAGAAATTAAGCGTAATACCAAAAAGAACAAAATATCCTCCTTCGAATGATTCCCACATTATGCCAACAACATTTAATGATATGCAGAATATTGAAGTTAAAAAAACGACTGAAATTTAGTTACCAACCATATATATATATATATATATATATATATATATATATATATATATAATAGGTCAGTTGGGCTAAACCAACTTACACTTAAACTAGCTCTTTTTAAGCCGGGTAAATTTCATTCCACTTTATTTGATCTGTTTTGCCTACCTGAATCATCTTTTAACTGGCCACGTTGCTTACATTAATTGCGCTTATCTTCGGTAACTTTGTTGCGTTTGTAGCATTTTTAAGTAACTTGTGGACATTTTTTCCTTATCGCGGATTGGTTGCTAACCAACTTACTTCATATGTTAATTTAGCGAAGTTATGCCACCGTATCTGTATGCATTATTGGATTTATTTTATTTCATCTTGTTGTTTCAGGTGATTGGCTGTTCCTTGATATCCCCGGTGTAACTGCGCTTGATGTGCATGTTGACAAGGTGCCTACCTGTCTATTACCCATTACCTCGTTCATACTGGCTCAGGAGACAGTTGGTCGTTGCTGGAGGGGACGGGGTGCACGGTCCTTGTGGCCGTGCTAGGCTCGAAGAGCGGTTCCATGCAGTTAGTGTGGAGCGGACTACGGTCCAGCCACTGCCTTGTGTGTGCTTGATGCCCCAAATACAGTGTGCTTGTGTTTGCCTGTGAATGAGTGTGGGCCGGCTCCGTTGATGAAACTTGGTTCCCATCCGCATGCCTCCCGGTCTTATTCCTTCGGGTTTACACTGC